GATTTGTGGTTACGTATCATTTAAATCTGGTTTTGTCATGAAATATCTTGTTTTCTCCATCAATGGTGAATGAAAGTTTTGGTGGGTAGAGTAGTCTGGGCTTACATTCGTGGTCTCTTAGTGTCTGCAGCACATTTTCCCAGGACCGTCTGGCTTTCATGGTTTCCACTGAGAAGTCAGGTGTAATTCTGATAGGTCTGCCTTTATATGTTACTTGATCTTTTTCCTTTGCAACTCTTAATATTATTTCTTTATTCTATGTGTTTAGTGTTTTGATTATTATGTGGTGAGGGGACTTTCTTTTTGCTCCTGTTTATTTAGTGTTTTGTAAACTTCTTATATGTTCATAGGGATATCCTTCTTTAGGTTGGGAAAGTTTTCTTCTATGATTTTGTTAAATATACTTTCTGTGCCTTTGAGCTGGAGTTCTCCTTTTTCTATCCCTATTATTCTAGAGTTTGGTCTTTTCATGGTGTCCCAGATTTCCTGGATGCTTTATGTTAAGAATTTGTTGGATTTAATGTCTTCTTTGGCTGATGAATCTATTTCTTCTACAGTATCTTCAACACCTGAGATTCTGTCTTTCATTTCTTGTATTGGTTATGCTTTCCTCTGTAGTTCCTGTTCATTTACCCAGATTTTCTATTTTCAGAATTCCCTCAGTTTGTGTTTTCTTTATTGCCTCTGTTTCAGTCTTTAAGTCTGGAATTCTTTGAACTATGTGCTTCACCTGTTTGTTTCTTTTTTTTTTTCTGAGTTTTCTTGAGTTTCTTTGAGAGATTTATTGATTTCTTCCAATTTTTTTGTCTTTTCCTCCATTTCTTTAAGGGAAATTTTCACTTCCTCTTTAGAGGTCTCCATCGTCCTCATAAAGTTATGTTTAAAATAGTTTTTTTCTGCTTCTTCTGGGTTAGGATGATCAAGTCTTCCTGTTGTATGACCACCGGGTTCTGGTGTTATGATGTTGCTTTTTGGGTTGTAGAATGAACTCTTGCCTTGGCGCCTACCCATCTTTTTCTCTTGGTCAAATCGTTGCAGTGGCATTCTGTGACTTTGTGGGAATTGTCCTTGGTCTGCTCTGTACACTGTGTCTGTCTGTGTCTCAAAGAGCCAGTAAGATCTTTCTTGGCTCACTCTCTTGGTCTGCACTGCTCTCTTGGTCCATTCTTTGCAGTCACAGCCTGTGCTGCAGAGTTCCGCTCTTGGTCCTTGCTGTGTAGTAGCAGCCCGTGTTTCAGAGTTCCTCTGAGGTTATGGGGTGGGGGATAGGAGGGTTTCGGGATGGAGTGAGACTTGCATCTTATAGGGTCTGATCGATGGGATGGGTGTATTGGAACAACCTACCTCTTGGTCCTCTTTGTGGAGTTGCAGCTTGTGTTTCAGAGTTCTTCTGAGGTTACGGGGGGATATTAGGGTTTGGCAGAAACATGGAACTTGTAGCTTGCAGGGTCCGATCAATGGTATGGGGGTGTTGGAGCAGCCTACCTGCAGGAAGCTTGCTTGCTGACTGACTAGAGAAACTGAGGCAGGTGGGGGAGGGTCCCGGGGTTTTACCCATAGAGAGCCTAGACAATGGGGTGTCCTGCTTGGTGGGTGGTCACTCACCTCTTGGTCCTCTTCTTTGTGTAGTGGCAGTCTGTGTTTCAGTCATCTCCCCGTTCTTTAAAATAAAAATTGTGTGTGATTGCACATGCATGCCGAGGTGTCTGTGTGTGTGTGCGCGCGCATGTGTGTGTGTGTGTGTGCGCGCGCGCGTGCGTGTGTGTGTGCGCGCACGCGCACGTGTGTGTGTGTGTGATTGCACATGCATGCCGAGGTGTCTGTGTGTGTGTGTGTGTGCGTGCGCGCGCGCGTGTGTGTGTGTGATTGCACATGCATGCCCGAGGTGTCTGTGTGTGTGTGTGTGTGTGCGTGCGCACGCGCGCACGCGTGTGTGTGTGTGTGTGTGTGCGTGATTGCACATGCATGCCGAGGTGTCTGTGTGTGTGTGTGTGTGCGCGCGCACGCGTGTGTGTGTGTGTGTGTGTGCGCGTGCGCACGCGTGTGTGTGTGTGTGTGTGTAGGTCAGAAGACAGACTCAGGTATTGGCTCCACCTTTTACCTTGTTTGAGTCGGTGTCTGTTGTTCCTGCTGCACACACCTGGCTACCACATGAGTGTCTGTGTATTCTTCTGTTTCACCTTATACCTCACTGTAGTGTTTTCTAGGGGTAGAAAATGAGATCTTCATGCTTGTGTGGCAACGATTTGCCCTGTCCTGCTTTTTCCCATCCTCCAGGCTATCATTTCTCTCTAGGGTGATTTCTTTTGTTGCACAGATTTCTTTAATTGTAATGTAACACATTTGCCAATTCTTGAGAGATTTTTGTGCTGTCCAGCCTTCAGTTTGGGTGTATGCCCAGAAATGAAGTTGCTAGGTCATATAATAATTTTGCCTTTCCAGGAATGTACTGGGTCATATTTTACCTTTTGAGGAACTGGCATGCTGATTCCAGAGCCATTGTGCCATTTGAGATTGCCATTAACAAAGCATAGTTTCTAATATCCTGGACAACTTATTTTCTGTTCTTTTAATCTTAATTTAAATTTTTAATAGTAGCTTTCCTAATGAGTACACAGTGGTATCTTGCTGTGGTTTTGATTTGCATTTCCCCGACAATGACTGTGAATTTGTACATTTTGCTTTAATGATGCAAGAATTTTAATCGGATTTTCCTTAGTTCTGTCCCTTTTTCTTTGAGATTACCTTGAGGTATTGGCCCACCAGGGTTACTTCATAATTAGTCAGGGACTGAGTTTAGGGCTGAGTCAGAACACTTTTATATATTCAGTTTTAGAATTTTATATTTTTCTCTTGATGAACTACTTAGTGTCTCAGTCTCTTTAAAAATCTAAAACATGGATATAATAATAGTGCATTTTATTATTGGGCTATTTTGATAATTAAATGCTATAATTTGTGGTAAAAACTTGTAACAGTGATATGACAAAGGCTCAGCACATCAAATGTTACTATGTTATTTTGTTGCTGGGATTTCTAATACTGCTCTATATAATGTCTTTTTTTCCTGGAGTTACTAACTATCCTTAGAGTTAGTGTTCCTGCTGGCACCAGTGACAAGGTTTTCATTTCCCCTGTGGTTCGCTGGACACATGCTTGGTAATCCCAGGGGTAGCACTGACACCTGCCTCTGGAGAAGGATGCCCATGGCCTCTCAGTGTCTAATATATAGGTCCTATACAAGCCAGGTGCAGTGATAGCCACACAAGCCAACACGATCAGTGTGCAGCCTGTTTCCTATTGTTCCTCTCCTCAGAATGAGTGGTCCTTTAGCTTTTCTCCACCACTTTCTCAGTTCTCAGCTAATACTGTCATGAAATAGGTGAGTTTAAGAACACTGGTGGTGACAGATGGAGGGACAGGTGGGGATGTGTGTGTGTGTCTGCAAAGGGCAAGGACTGAAGCTGGGAGAGAGAGACGTATGTGGGAAGAGAAAGTCAAGGAGTCAAATGGACAAAAGATATGAGAGGGATCAGACCATGTTAGGACGTAGATGGGGAGACACCATTGGAACTTCTGGTGGATACTGGGAGGGAGAAACGAGAGTCCAGAGAGAGGACTAGAAAGCACCAGCAGGATGTGGGGAGGAATCTGTTCTTGACAGAGACGTGAAGGCAGCTTGAATCTGACTGTAGAAGGAAAGGGTGCCAGTGGACTACTTACAGAAATAGTTCAGATTTTTACCTCTGTCTCCATTTGGTGGAACAAGGAAAATATTAGATAAATGTTAATTTACCAGCTTTGTAGCTCATTTGTTCAAATATTTCTTAAATGCTAGTAGTGTGACAGGGTCTTTGACTAGTGCCACAAATTCCTGTCCTAAACTGAGGAGAATTCTTTAAAAATTGTTTTATTTATTTATTATTATTTGTATGTGTGTTACATATATGTCATGGATGCTGCACGCGTGGCGACCAGACGACTGGTTTCAGGAGTTGCTTCTCTTTAGTGAGTTCTGCATGTCTAAATCAGTCCTTAGCCTTGTGTGCTTTTACCTGCTCTGCCACACCAGGGGCCCAAGCGAGAATTGTTCAGCACATTTTTCTTGGCAATCTGGGTGTCAGGTTCAAGCCTGGGAAATCCTTCTCATTTTGTCTTCCTGACCTGCATTTTGTAGAGCAGATGCTGACACTTGGAGAGACTAGGTTGCTTATGGAGTTGGGGCTCCTGCAGTTTTGCTATGTCCCAGAGCACAGTAGATAATCGTCACACATGGCATACTAGGTCACTCAAATTTTGATACTATCTCCAAAATATTTATGGATAGTTAAGTAATAGGTAAGTGGACATTTTCCCTGAACTACTTTGTCTTTAAAAACACAAGCCATGCTTAGTAGCAGAGGCTGTGGGGTCCGGGACCTAGAAAGACATCGATAAGAGCATGTGCATTTTTGTTAGGCAGGGAAAACAAATTCAGGGGTCGATTTTATACCATACTGACTGTGGTTAATAAGAGAATATAATAGATTTAAACCTACTTAGAAATTAGATTTTTAAAGATATTAACATTTAAAATGATGCTAAATATATGCATAATACTTCACTTTATTAGATATGCCCCAGTGATTATATATGTGTGTGTGTGTGTGTGTGTGTGTGTGTATGTATGTATGTGTGTACATAGTGCTGTATACAATACATACATTTTAACTTGTTATTTAAACATGACTTACTGACTCTGTAAAGATGTGATAGTGAGTTAGTTAGGGGACTCTCAGAGCCTCTGCAGCACAGCTAAGTCTGGCTTTAGCTTGTGAGAACATGGGACATGCTCTCTGAGTGCCTGTGAGCAAGGTGAGAACTTCCAATACGTTAAAAGGTAAACACTTTCCAAACTGGATCCCCTATTATATGCATATATGATAATTAAACTCTACCCCATTACTATGTGTAAGGAATGCATGTTATTGAGCAAAGTTAAAGAACACATGTCTTGTGACATGGCTGCAGTAAACCTGCTGCAAAATATGCAGCTGCATGGCTTCGGCGTGCAGTCGGGAGTCTGAGTGGAGAAGAACACTTTTAATATGAAATAAATGTACAAGGAAGATGGCAAAGTGAAATTAATATGTGTATTAATAACTGTCCAGATAATTTAGCTAGGCACAAAGTGTCTCATAGAGTCACCTGACAGTTGCATAGGATAGGATTTGTGAGTACATTCTAATGTATTGTGATATTAACAGTCTTCCAAATTCAGACTATAGAGATACAAAAGACCTTTGTGTAACTCCAGAAGGAAGGAATGGACAATGGCAAAATCTATAGCTAGGTAGGATTTGACCCAGAAAAGACAAAGAACAGAGCCTGGACAGGAGCCACAAGGAAGCCTGGATGTCTTCCCTGCAGCCCTCACCCCAGCTTTCTTGGCACTACCCTTGCCACTGCACCATGTCCCAGGAACTTCTGTAGATGACAGGAAAGATGGGTGGTTTTCAAAGCACTTGCAGGAAGTCTGCTGGGTGGTTCTGAGCCAGGCTAAGTCTTGGTCTGGTCTGGGTCTAGGCATGAGTTCTCAGACACCAGGTCCACAGGAGAGACCTGCTCACAGGTCTTCTCCTTGGTGCTTCCTCTGCTCGATTTCCTCCTCTCGTACTGGGAGAAGAGTTTCATTCGGTCCCGTCTGGGTGAAGACTAGGCTCTCACCACAGTGCTCACTCCAGCATGGTGCTCAGGTTTTGCTTCCAGGAAAAGCACAGTAGGATGATGGCCAAACAAAGGGGTTGAGATAACAGCAACACCCTCACTGTCTCAGCATGCTGTCTGGGTGAACTCTGCAACCCTCACAGTTACTTCCTGACTTGATTACTGTTCTCTTTGCTGAGGAGGAAATAGAGGAATACAGGAGGAAGGAGATGTTATTTATCTGGACCTGGCTCCTCAAGTCAGTGTTCCCATCACCGCACAGTCTCCTTTGCTTCCATGTCTCCTGGCCTCTTCTCTACCATTCTGGCTCTCCTTCTCTTTTGTAAAATCATGCTAATATTCCTTTAGAGCCCTAGGAAGTGCTTTCTGAGAGCACATGTCTTTTTGTGACCCTCATTCCCAGCTTCAGTGCTGTTGGCAGAGCAGGGCTGAGGTGGTGGCCCCAGAAAACACTCGGTGACACTTCTCCTTACCCGTCACTCGTGTCCTTGGCTTCAGCAGCCGCCGCCATGCCCTTGGCGTCTCAGTCTTGTGGTTAGACCACGTAGCTGCAAGCAGAGAGAGGGACTAATTGAGGGCTTGTATCTGCAAAACTGCTTTAGTAAAAAGGGGATAAACTTGTAAGTAGCACTATTGCGAGAAGTAGTAAAGAATTTTTTTTTCTTCTTAGAAAAATAAATTTGTTTCCTGGTGTGGCTTTTGTTTCTATAAACCTGAGGGCAAGGCTTTAAAATAGAGCATCCCACCCCCTCCCCTGAGTGCTTATTTCAACAAAGCTCAGTTTCTTCTGAGTGGATGCGGAGAAATGTTCAGGAGAATCTGGCTGGAAAGGTGTCCCATGCTGGGTCTGCCTGGGCCTTTACCTGTTAGGGTCCGGTTTTATTCTCTCCCTAGTGTCTACTTGTTGTCCCATTGTCCCTCAAAGCAGGCTGTGTTCTGACCCAGGACATCTTCAGAGCAGAAGAAACTAATGATTTTATGCCTTTGCATGGCTTCTTCCACAGGACACCTAGGACAAGTTTATCAGAATGTGTCTAGTTTTTATGTGATGCCTTTATAGTTTTTATTTTTTCTCTCATGGCATTTATTTATTTGAGACAAGAACCTATGCTCTAGCTCTGGTCTATCTCATGCTCACTGTTTATCCCAGGCTAACCTCAAATTTGTGTCCTTTCTCCTGCCTCAGCTTCCTGAGTGCTTGCATTTTAGGTACTTGTCACCATGGAGTTATGTTCAAGGACCTGTCTAGATTACTAATGACTAACAGCTGACTGACAATTCGTGCCAGAGACAAATGTTCCATGAGCTTTGGAAATCTAAGAGAAAGAGGGTTTAGAACATGTTTTAGTAACAGGGACACTTGGGTACTTCTGGAATGAAGGAACGAGTAGGGAGGAAGCAGGCCGTGTTGGAGCTGGTAAAGGTCAAGGGGACAGACTGATTGCCTCTTGTCAAGACAGTTTCTCCAGAAGAGGGATCTATATACTTTGGGTTTAATGTGGATAAAGAGTTGCAGACTCGATCAAAAGGCATTTTATGGAACTTTCTGAAGTACCAGTTTATGAGAAGGTGATGAAAAATTGCTCTTTTGGTTTCATTGGCTGCCCCTGTTTACTGCCTTCAGGGAGGCTGTGAATCTGGGTCACAGTGGACAAACACATCTCTTAGTTGCCTTCCAATTTCCACCTGGTTCTCAATGTCCATCACAGGGAGTCATGAGGGCAACTTTCCTGAGAATCGTTCAAGGTAATAGGCAGATAAACAATCCGATTACATATAATCAAGTTTAGTTAATATGTCTTCAGGAAGGAGATATATTACGAACACATTACAGAGTGGTGTGTCTTGAGGAGCTATTTTAAGGATTTTTAAGGATAAGATTTGGGCAGAGAGAAGAGAAAAGGGGAGAGAAGTGTAGGTAAACAGAACAGAATGTTCGGGAAGGAGTAAGAATAAGCTGTATAGAGAGCAATCTGTACTTATGTGGAAATGTTAGATGAATGTTGAAATGTTGGGTCAGGACACTGGGGGCAGGGCAAATGGAGGCAGGTGCAGCTTCTGTTGGTTCTTGAAGCACTTCACCACAGAGACTGGGCAAATGAGACACCAGGGCCAGAAGCCATTCCTACACCCTAGCCACGATCCTCTAGATGAACTTTCTCTTGGGAACTCAGCAATTCACAGGTTCATGTCTGTCTTTGAGCCTCCGCACACTCGCAAGAGTTCCTTCTGCTCCTTCCCTTCCAGCCTCTGATCAGCACTGATCAGTAAGCGTCATGAATCCCAGCAACATCACCATCTTCCACCCTGCGATTTTCGTGCTCCTCGGCATCCCTGGGCTGGAGGCTTATCACACCTGGTTGTCTGTACCCCTGAGTCTCATGTATGTTACTGCAGTCTTTGGGAACAGCATCCTGATAGCGGTCATCATCACAGAGCGGAACCTGCATGAACCCATGTATTTCTTCCTCTCAATGCTGGCCATCACAGACATCCTGCTGTCCACCACTACTGTGCCCAAGGCCCTAGCCATCTTTTGGCTCCAAGCCCACAGCATTGCCTTCGATGCCTGTGTTACCCAAGTTTTCTTTGTTCACACAATGTTTGTGGGGGAGTCCGCCATCCTGTTAGCCATGGCCTTTGATCGCTTTGTGGCCATCTGTGCCCCACTGAGATACACAACGGTGCTGACAAGGCGCACAGTAGGTAGGATTGCTCTAGCCATTGTTATCAGAAGCGTCTGTATCATCTTTCCCGTGATTTTCTTGTTGAAGCGGCTGCCATTCTGTCGAACCAACATCGTCCCCCATTCCTACTGTGAGCACATTGGGGTGGCCCGCTTAGCCTGTGCCGACATCACCGTTAACATCTGGTACGGCTTCTCAGTGCCCATCGTCATGGTCATCATAGATGTGGTCCTCATCGCTGTGTCTTACTCACTCATTCTCCAAGCAGTGTTCCGCTTGCCCTCCCAGGATGCTCGGCATAAGGCCCTCAGCACCTGTGGGTCTCACCTCTGTGTCATCCTCATGTTTTACGTCCCATCCTTCTTCACTTTACTGACTCACCGTTTTGGGCGGAACATTCCCCGGCACGTGCATATCTTGCTGGCCAATCTTTATGTGGTGGTGCCCCCAATGCTGAACCCCATTGTCTATGGAGTTAAGACTAAGCAAATCCGAGAGGGTATAGCCCACTGGCTCTTGGACATCAAGACTCAGTGTTGTTCCCCTGTTTTAGACTGATGGGTCCTTGTGACCCTTTCCATCCAGCTCCATCAAGGAAGCTAGCCAAGCAGAACAGACTGGATAGACAGGACTTCCCATCTTTTGCTTCATCCTTCTCCTCTTCCTACTTTTCCGTTTTCTAATTTGTCTTCCTTATCTTTTTCTCTTGTTTCATATTTGCTGTCCACTTCATACATTTATCCTTAAAAACTAGAAATGATAAACTACATGCACATTTCTCTGATATGAGAATTTGACTTTCTCAAAATTGGATCTATCACAAGGGGTAAGGGTATAAACAAATGAATATATTTAAACACATTTAATATTTGGAGAGGCTCTGTTATTTTAAAGTCCCTAATATTGTTTCTTTTTATAGAATCAAGTAAGCTGGGCTTGTTGGTTTGTGCCTGTAATCCCTTCACTCAGGAAGCTGAGGCAGGAGGATTGTTCTGGATTTGAGAACATTCTGGCTTACATATTTATAAACTGAGTTATAAAGCAAATCTCTGTCACAAACACCAAACAACCAAAACAAATAAAAGTTCTTCACTAATCTCTCTGGTGTCAAGTGTTTATTGGAGAAAAAAGAAAGAAAAAGGGCATACGTATCTTTCTGCCTTTTGGGAAACTGTCTCATTCTTTAAATTTCAACTCAAGAACTACCTTCTCAGGTAGGAGGCGGTGGCACACACTCTCAATCCCTTTAACCCAGCAACACTTGTAAGACAGAGGCAGTGGGGGCGGGGGAGGAGCGCAGAGGAACGACTGGATGATGACTACCTTCTCTGTCAAGTCTTTCCCATTTTCTCCAGGCAAGCCAAGGCTCCTACTTTTACATGGCCAGTTCATCTCATATACATCTCTACATGTGCAGAATGAGTTGTTCTAAGCTCCTCATTTCTTTGTCACCAGAAATGACTGTAAATGCCTTGAAACCATTTGTACCTTATATGAAAAATATCTGGCATTTAATAAATGGGAATTAAGTGAAAAGATGATGACCTCCTGAACTTAGAACACAAATCTTTAGAATACATTGAAATAGCCAATGACATCAGTCCACAAAACCAGTGATGGTTTATCCTTCCAGATGCAAGTCAGCTGCTGCATGTGGCTCTCACTTCTCACACCTTGGCTCTAACTCAGACACTAAGGAATGGGCAAGGCAGGGAGACACAGGGCACTCTTGACTTTTCTGCCTGGCTCCTGACAACTTACTGTTGGGTGTATGTAACAGTACTCATGAGATCAGAGTAGCAGAATTGGAGTACTCTCTTAAGAATTCATGTTTTGACACATGCTCCTTCTTTCTTATTTAGGAAAGGCCATTTCCCATTTAATTCTTCAGCTACCATCCACACTGTGAGCCGCATATTCGTGTCTCTAATCTAGAATCTGCATGTGTGTGTGTGTTTAGACACACATAGACAGTCACCTCTGGAACATAGAACCTCCATTCAAGACAGATTGTTTTCTGTGTTCCTTTTCTTGGGGAGCAAATTAGGGCAAGCTCATCAACTTCACCAAGCCGGGAACCCTAGAATTTTCTCAAATTCTTCCTCTGGAAGCTGAGCGGTGGTGGCGCATGCTTTTAATCCCAGCACTCGGGAGGCAGAGGCAGGCGGATCTCTGTGAGTTCGAGGCCAGCCTGGTCTACAAGAGCTAGTTCCAGGACAGGAACCAAAAGCTACAGAGAAACCCTGTCTCGAAAATCCAAAAAAAAAAAAAAATTCTTCCCCTGGGGCTGGCTTCTCAATAAGTTATTATCAATCCTACTAATGATGAAAGGTCTACATAGTCATATGAGTGGTGCTTGGAGTCATAAAACTTCATTTGAGTCTTGCCCCCATTATTCCCTGTCTATGGAGACCTGGAAATTCTTTTAACATTCTTTAGTTCTCACTTTTTTACCTATAAAATAAGTACCTTGTGATAACTATGGGACAGTTTCACAAAGTTGTTGAGAAGGTTAAATGAAATAATCCATAAATACAAACACACACACATACACACACATCACGGAATCCTTAGCTCATATTCTGCAGCAAATCTGCTAGCCCTAAGTTCGTTAATTACAGTCTTAGTTTAGTGCCTGCTTCTGCAATTACTAATTAATTTTATCTTATTTTATCTGAGGTTTTGTATGTTTCTTTCTCTTTTTCTCTTTCTCTCTCTTTCTTCCCTCCATCCATTCTTCTTCTACTCCTCCTTCTTCCCTCCCTCCTTCTCTCTTCTCTCCTCTTCCTCTTCCTCTTCTTCTTCTTCTTCTTCTTCTTCTTCTTCTTCTTCTTCTTCTTCTTCTTTTTCGTTCTCTCTTCCTCCTCCTCTTTTTTTTTTAAAGACAGGGTTTCTCTTTGTAGTCTTGTGTCCTGGAACTTGCTTGTAGATCAGGCAGGCATTGAACTCAAAGATCCACCTGCCTCTGTCTACCATATGCTGGTATTAAAGGCATGCACCACTAAGTCTGCTTTTAATTTCTTAACTGAGTTAATGTTTGAAATCTTTTCTGTTTTAGCCTAATTACAAGTGACTATGTTAAGTATTGTAAAGTACGAACATAGCAAGTTGCTACTCTCTGTCAGATGCTTACCACAGAATAGTCTGGAGATGTAGGCATGGAATACTGATGCATATAGTCTGATGTTCCTTGGTCAAATAAGAGTGAAAGATTTTGACTTTTTTTGAGTCACACACATGACTGTCCAAGAGAAGATAGCGTTCACAGTTTTTCATTTGTTTCTGTGGCCACAAACAACTGTTTCCATGTCCACAAATTTATTGTTGATTACACAGCAATTTACATTTATAATATAATCTAGTATTCCATTAGTCAAAGTCTGGTAATTAGAGTCACTCATAAACTAAGCATTAATTTAGTAATATGCTCCTGACTTAATCTTCCATCTCTATTTTAAAATGTCACTGTAAAATAATATGTTAATATACAACATAATAGATAGTATTAATGATGGCAATAATGACAATTATGATGTGGATATAAAGTGGTCCCCCCACAAAATGGTCAATGATAAAGACTTGGTCCCCATGCAACATATTTAGGAAGAACTTTTCTTCTTCTTTTTATATATTCTTCTCTCAGATAATATACCCCAAGAGCAGCCTCCCTACCCTACCCTCCTTTCTTCTCAGTACCCCCAAACATCCCCTCTTCCTCAGATTTGCCCCTCCTCTGTTTCCCTTCAGAAAAGAGCAGGCTTCCCACGGATATCAACTGAATATGGCATAACAATGGACTAAGCCTAGGCACAAACCCTCATATGAAGGCTGGGTGAGTCAACATTTTATCTATTTTTTTATTAAAAATTTCCTCTTCCTCCCCTCCTCCCAGTTCCCTCCCCATTTCCTCCCTACCCCTCCCTCTCCAGTCCAAAGAGCAGTCAGGGTTCCCTGCCCTGTGGGAAGTCCAAGGTCCTCCCCCCTCCATCCAGGTCTAGGAAGGTGAACATCCAAACAGACTAGGCTCCCAGATGAGTCAACTTTTTAAAAAATGAATTGAATTAGATGGATTCCTGTTTTTTCCCATTTTTAAAATGATTAAATTATTTAACTTTATGTATATGGGTATTTTGTCTTCATGCATGGATATGCACCACATGTGTGCCTGGTGCCAACAGAGGCCAGAAGAGACTGTCAGATCTAACAGGAGTTAGAGTTACAGATGATTGTGAGCCACCATGTGGGTACTGGGAGCCAAACACGGGTCTTCTGCAAGAGAGCAGTGCTCTTAACTGCTGAGCCATCTCTCCAGCTCCTACAGGTGGGAGTTTGGAGATGTGAGTGGGTTGTGATGGCCCTGGTTTATCAGTGGATTCACCCACTGATGGAGTTGGGACATGGCAGAGACCATGTCTTACTCACCATTATGGTTTCAGCATATTAGTATAAAGGTAAATCTCTCTCTCTCTCTCTCTCTCTCTCTCTCTCTCTCTCTCTCTTTCTCGGCCTTGCATACATGTACTTAGTGCTTTCTGATCCTACTATTTCTTCTTTTTCTACAATTTTCTATATATTGTATACAATATAATTGTATATTGAAGATTTGTGGGTATAGATGGGATCTTAATAATCTTCACATTGGGTAACAGCAGGATCAAAGTTACATATGCCTTTATGTTAGCGATCTGGGGTCATCAACAGATGTTGTATGTGCAGAGACCATAGGAAGGACCTGCTCTGGTTTCTGAACTAGTGACCTCTGCAGACTAGCTCTGCTGGGGTTTGCTTCTGTCTAACCAAACCAGACAAGCTCTACAGAGCCCTGGGAAGGAGCTGTCTCCTGATCTAAGGGATCCTTCCAAAACTGCATCTTATGTGGAGGAAGAACTATCCCTCCAGCTGGGGTAAACTGTGGGCTAAGCATTTGGTTCTTAGGATTTTTAGGTTTCCTCTGCATAATAGCTGATTTTAAGAGGCTCTTTTTAGTCCTCTAGGGAGTGGGCTATTGTCAAAGTGCTCATTTTGACTTCATGAACTGCCGTGCTGTGTAGTAGTGGGACTAACGTTATTTTCCCCAGAATAGTAAAGTAACTTAAAATGTTGAAATATTGAAAGCAGGTATATTAAAAATTATAATTTCAGCTTGCTTAAAACATTTTCCTGATACAGAGTTGGGATTTATTTACATTTTACTGGCTATAATGCAAGAAAACCAAAAGAATTTAAAACTAAGATTATAAAGCCAATTTTATCATTAGTTTATAAAAGTATGCATCTGGGTTTCTGTTTTCTTTTTTCTTTCATGCTTCAGCCATGGCTGAGAATTGTGTTGTCAGATACCATCTGTACTTCAAATGCTGATACTTTGTTCACTGTGGAGTCTGACTTAGTCTTTCACTAAAATATTATTGTTCTTGGTTGGTGACTATTTTGTACACAAGATAAACTCCTCACTCACTTTATCTTAGGAGATTCAGCTCCTGGAAGCCCAAGTCGTAAAGAAATGAAGACTCTTATGATATCATGAATCCTTACGTGACTTTGAGATAGAAACGTGT